AAAAAGGTAAGAAAGAGATGGTTCTTTAAAGAACCTTTGACTGAATGCTTCTTTGTGGAACCAAAAATGGTTCTTCTGTGGCATCGCTTGAAGAACCTTTGCTTTTAAGAGTGTAATTCTTGAGTAACTTACCAGTAACTCACACGCTCAAGCTCTGTTAGACTGGTTTGTGGTCATTTAGACTGAGTTGTTGACTCGAGAACTGCTGCAATTCCTTCAGTCTGATTCCTGAGCCAATTCAGCAGATTCACTGTGAAGACTCAGTTTGTTCATGAACCTGAGCTCACTATCTCGTCTCAGATGTCAGTTTCTTGAGTTTTTATGAGGTAGCTCTGCAGCAGGGTTTGCAGACGCGCTGGCCGAGAGAGTGTGTGAAGTGACTGATCTCCAGCGGCTCCTGACGGGGTCGGCACCGTGGTTTGCTCGTGCTGCGGTTTCCAGTCAGTGAGGCTTACGTGTTGCAGTCGCTTTCAACTTTAACATTCAAAACGATTCCCTAAGGCAAGACGCTGCAGACAAAACCAGCGATTTTTGTGCACCAGTCAGTTTTGAGATTCTGCTTGCGTTTTACTGGATGCAAAATATATATTTAAGTTTTACCTTATTATGCTTCATCTATTTGCATCTGTAGATTTCAATTAGAATACATATATTTAAAGGCGGTTTTATTCCCATGTCTATTCTGAAGGTTTTTACAGAGGATTTTGTTCATCATTCACTTGATTTATATGTGACACTGGAGCACAAAACCAGTCATAAGGGTCAGTTTATCGAAAGCTGAAAGCTGAATAAATAATCTTTCCATTGATGTATGGTTTGTTATGATCGGACAATATTTGGCTGAGATACAACTATTTGAAAATCTGGAATCTGAGGGTGCAAAAAAATCTAAATATTGAGAAAATCATCTTTAAAGTTGTTCAAATGAAGTTCTTAGCAATGCATATTACTAATCAAAAATTAAGTTTTGATATATTTACGGTAGGACATTTACAAAATATCTTCAAGGAACATGATCTTTACTTCCCTCCCGTTTTCATTCATTTTAATGACAATTACGCATATTGTATTCATTACCAATAATGAAAAAAATATAATTTTTGCTACTGTAGTTTGGAATATATATATATACACACACACACACACACACACACACACACATATACAGGGTTCAACATTTACACTTCTATATCCCGATAGTTAAGCAGATAAGGAACATTACACGCGCAAGAGCGCTGTTTTCCCAAATATCAGCACGATTGCAAATGTGATATTGATTTTATTCAATTCAGCAAACAAGAATTTTATATTGAACGAGTTACATTTTAGACACCAGTATTACCAGTAGTTGCAATTCTCTGAGTGTCTTTGATCTGTTGAGCGAACAATTCAATGACTCACTCGTTTTCTCATTTTTGAACGAATCTTTTGAATGAATGACTCAAGACTGTCACTTACAGCCACTGACTGGTAGGTTAGTTTCATATTTATATTATATATGTATATATAAAACATAAATCTCATTACATTATTTTGCAGTGTAAATGCATTTATGCCACCTCTGTTTCATGAAACAGTCTGTGCGTCTAAATGCAGTGAAAATATATATTTGGCTGATACTGATTTTATTTGTTTGGTAGCAGCCGTCTAGCCACAATTACAGTAGTGGAATTTTTTTTTTTTTTGTGCAGTACAGTAATGTGAATTTTGAGGGAGATGTGCTTAACTGTCATCACAATCCCAAAAATCTGAATAACTTGATTTTCTTTGTGCAAAATGTATTTTTGAGCTGGATGTTTCTTCATGAGATTCAGCCACTGTGTGGAGATCATGACCATGTCTTTACATCACTGAAAACAGTGTCAGTTCTCACCATAACTCTTGTACAATCAAATAAGTGTTGTTAAACTTCATCTTTTACGGACAAATCCCACAATGATCTTGGTTTATTTTTTTGTTATTAATCCCAATCGCCTGCCGTTTCGCAACAGAACCGTGACCGAGACCGTCAATCCTATACAACGAGGCAGAGCACTTCCAGTTCACAAGACATCTCAACACTGAGCTCTCATCAGCACAAATAAGGCTGCTTAGAAAATGTTCCTTAAGATATACGTTCATTTCAGAATCTGCCATTCGGTGCCAAGCGCCGTTAAAATAAAATAAAAGCATGGAGCGTTTTCTCTACTCCGTTCATCTGAAGAGGCATGGCATTGAAAAAGGCTTTTACAGCACACAAGCAAGGAGAATGGCCATGCTAGCAAAACACAAGGGATTTTTTCTGTTTATTCGTGTTAAACCTCAACAAATATGAACAGCGCAGTGCAATTTTTTAATTACTTTTTTTTTTTTTTTTAACAATACGTAGTGTTAAAGTGTGTCAGGATCTTCACTTCTCTTCACACCACTGGTTCTCCTTACGTACCTGCAACAAACAACACTCTGGGGAGTTATTATAGTTCAACTAAAACTGAAAAAATCTTATTTCAACATCTGAAACAGTATCACAGTTTCCAAAAATTAAGCAGCAGCACAACCGTTTCCAAAAATTATAAAGTTTTCTGAAGATCATGTGACGCTGAAGACTGGAGTAATGATGCTGGAAATTCAGCTTTGCATCACAGAAATAAATTATTTTTTAAAAGTACATTTAAATAGTAAATCATTATTTTAAATTGCAATAATATTTCACAATTTCTTCTGTATTTTTGATCAAATAAATGCAGCCTTAATGTGCAGAAGAATCTTACCGATTCTAAAAGTTACTAAAAATGACAAAAACAACAAAATTATTACATTTGACTAAAATAAAAATGAAAATGAGATATACAAATAAAAACTGTGTGACAGTATGAGTATCAATAGCGCATTAAGACCATGCGTGACGGAGGAGACAGGAAATGAGCACTTGTTTTACCTGGGCTTCCTCTTCCTCTGTAAAATCATTTTTGATATTGAAAGTCTTTCTGATCTCCTCTGGGGTTTTGCCTTTGATCATGTTAGCAACCGTCTTGCAAGTAACATCTAGCAAGCCTTTGATGTCCAAGTAATTTGCAGCCTAAACAAAGGAGAGAGAGATGAAAGTGAGCTGCATATGAAGACGTGGCCATCGTGTGGCTGCTTAACGCTCAACTCGCGACACAAGAGTGAAGAGCACAAGACACTGATTCACAATGGAGCGTTTCAGAGATGCTCACGGATGTCCCAAGTTGCAAAAAACAGAAGAGAACTTGATTATAAATTATTAAATCACAAGGCTGAGATGTAATGAAATAAGTGTGAGTTTCTGAGTGAAGCGCAGCACTGTTTTTATTTACACATCAGCAGCTCATGATCCGCCGGTGTTTTCAGCGTCTCAGTTCAATGTAAATGATCCACATGAACTCCATCTGCATCTGCTCGGAGTTTGAGGCGATGTACCATGCATTTGGAAACTAAACATGCACCAACCTTCTTCACAAACTTCTAAAAAGCAGCACTCATTAATGAAAGCCAAGCTTTAAGGGCAGCTGCGGCTTACTGTCAAAATAAAAGTTTAACGGTTTATAGGGATGCTCCGGTCAATCGGCCGATAATCACATTTTAGGACATAATCACGATCTTACGAACCGATCGCAACGCATTTGGACGTAAAGGATTTGGCGCTACAGTCACGTCATCGCAGAAATACTATGACGTTTCGAGAAACAATGAAAAATTCTCTATTTGCCGTGTATGTTTCAAAGAAATCTCACAGGGCGGAGCATTGTCCAAAACATTTAATACGACGAACCTGATTCTGCACTTAAGAACGAGCCACCGCGAGACGTATAGGGCAAATACGAAAAACTGGCAACTGCAAAAAATGCAATGGTAACTAATAACGCAACGCTCGCTCAGCCATCCATTACAGACGTTCTGAAAAAAACATGAACTTTACACACCAGACAGCAAGAAAGCTATGGCTATATCCATGAAGATTGTGGAATTTGTATGCATTATAGTTATGCGCGGATGAGCTTCGCCCGCAGCTTCAAATAAATTATCCACCCGCCTATATTTTTCTCTGATTTAGATAACCGCACCCCGATCGTCACATTACAATTACTCTAATTCTCAGTTTTGCATGATGATGGTTCATTTTAACAGCAGATTCAGTGACGTTGATCATGCTGATCGCGGCCGCTCTAGTCAATGCTTGTGTTTATACCGGCCAGCCGCGGCACGTTTCTGAAGCAGCTCTCCGCGCTGCTTGGCTAAAAACAGTATTTTGTGAGTTGGCACCACGTGGAGGACGGAACAAAACCTCGTCGGAGCCGTAAGGGGTAACGGTAACATAATACGCTGATTGTGGGCTGCTTTTAAACGAACATTTATTTATAAAACAAAATATATTTTTTGGCCATATTAGCCTACTTAGTAGCATTAACACAGGCTTTACTCCTTTCATACTTTATCTGGAATTTCACCGTAACTTCCCGATCAGGCAAACATACACACACACGAAATCGTCTGCCTGATGAAAAAATGTATTTAAAAAAAATGTAGTTAATATTTGCATCATTTATGATTTATTTAATGCACCCGTGACCCACCCGCAAATAATCAGATTCAGAATGCATTGTTTTTATTACCCGACCCGTGGATATAACCGTGACCAAACTACTCCATTTTGTTCTTTCAGTAGTTTAAATGTTTTTTTATTTTTTATTAATTGTGTCCTCAGACTTGTATGACAATGTTTAAGTTACATCAGACTTCTCAATATTAGGAGATTAAATGTTTATTTTGTCCTCCACAGTTTACTATTGGATAATGTTTAAATAAACCTTGTGGGTTGCATCACACTGCTCCGTTTTGTTTGTATTTATTTTTGTCTTATATAAGTATTCTGATGGGTGCTGGGTGGTATACCGGTTCATACCGAATACCGGTGTTTATTTTTGTTATGATATGAATTTTGAAAATTCCGCATTATCGGTGTATGTCGCTTAAACAACGTTCGGAACGCGACACTGTTTGAAAGGAGTTCATATTCATACTGACAAACCTAACAACTTTTTGGGATAAAGCTTAGCTATGGTTCAGTTGGAAGATTTCTCCAGTGCTGTCCCGCGAGCGTGAGGTCTGGCTTTCCCGGAGAAGTGTCGCCTCTCTCGGCGTCTGTTCTGTGCAGCGAGATAAATGAGTACAAAACAGCGTTTCCTAGCACCTGTCGCTTACTGATTATTAGGAATTATAAATATGAGCGTAGTTCGTCTGTTAATATCACATGCACTTTTTAGTTTGTTGTTGTTTTTAGTTTGTTACTCAGACGCAGGCAGTGCGCTGCACGAGACAAATTTTGCTTCATTAAATGCAGGGCGCCACATTTGTTTATCCTACAATTTCAAGCACTCAGTTGGTCCTAAAAACCAACAGGATGCATTTGGCTTTGTTTTCCCAGCATGAAATCAGATCTGCGACTCCGTTCTGTAGCATACAGCACCGTTTTAACGAACGCTGGCAGGCAAAGCACAAGCAGTTTTACAAACCAGAATGAGTTCGAAGAGGGTGCCCTGGTCTACTTTGAGGAACTCCTGGTCCCACACGGGGATGTCATCCGTTCTTTTCTCTTTATTCTCATCGTCTTCAGGGGGAGGAGGGTCGTCTTTATGGTGGGTGCACCACTGAATCACCTGTGGGCATATTAAACTCACTGTAAGGCTCAAGACGGACACATTTCGTCTTTATTTTAAAACACAACCAACATGCACACTACATAAATTAATTTGCATAACTGAGAAAAATGAGCAACGAGGAACAAACATTACATTACAGTACATTACAACATTACAGTAATGAGAACTGGCATGAAAATAATGCTATTATGCACTTTGATATAGAAACCACATTGCTGAATATTCATAAACAGTAGGCTTGCTGCGATAGACGGTGTTGGCGGCAGGGTTGGGTATCGAAAACCGGTTCCAAATTTCCAAGAACCGGGTATTCGATAAGACACGTGCATTTTGATTTTGATTCTGCTTAACGATTCCTGCGTTCGCATTTTAATGTGATTTAAAACTACTTAAGTGCATTTACATTACATTTAGAAGACGCTTTTATCCAAAGCGACTTACAAATGAGGACAATGGAAGCTAAATAATCCACTAGTTTGTCGAGGACGGTCAAAATGACAATTTTCACCTAAGATTCAGAGCCAAATTACAGGGGGGTAAAAATGGATTGATCATAATGTTATTTAGACGCAAAGATTGGTTGGCCTATTAGTATAATCTCTTGACTTTAGCAATTCGTGTTAATATGTCAATGGTGACTACTCAAAAATGGAGAAAAGCACTTCACTTCCAAGTTTTTTTCTCCAAAGTTTGCATGCCTGTAACTCGAGATGTATTAAAGATCTCTTAATGCCCTTTTAGATGTTGGGTTTTAACAAGGTTTCCTTTTGGCATCTTCATTTTTAAGGCCCTATATGGTTCAGTTCCAGAGATACTGGGATCTAAATATGGCTCAGAGAGTAAATGGACACATTCTCAGTGGTCAAAAACAAAATGTGGGCCACTTTGTATACATCACTGTATTTAAAGAACAATGTCTGAAGAATAAATCATGCTGGAACTAGAATTGTAGCTTGTCTGTCAAATGGTGAACGGTCACCATTGGTATATAACGCAACAAAGGTTGATAAAATCAAACAGAATTTATTAATAGACCACCTAATCTCTCTGTAAAAATAAGATGCTGCCATCTTTCTGAAGTCATTTTTAACCCGTGACTTCGCTCTGAATCTCAGGTGAAAATTGTAATTTTGACCGTCCTCGACAAAACAGTGGATTACTCCATAAATATTCATCCGCGACATTTAATATTTTGACAATTTGAGCTCTCCGGTTGAGTTGACACGGAATGACCCATATGCAAAGTATCATTTATTATCATCTTGGGGTAAAATCAGACCTAGATACGTTTGGGGGAGTCACCCATCTATTTACCCCAGTGTACCATCTGTATACTAAATCATGTGAAACTCCCAATTAAACATGACAGCAATGTACAAGTCTGACCTTCTTCAGGATGGCTGCGTTTACATTGGGCAGAGGAACCGGATCATCATCTCCTTCATCATCCATCCCCAAATCTGAGCAGAAGACAGCTGTGATTACACACAACACACACACACATATACACACACACACACACATATATATATATATACACACACATATATATGACCACATCTCAATTCAGCTTACCTTCAAGCATGGTTTTTATAGTCACAGACTGCTTGGCGATTTCAACATCCACCTCAAACATCTCTCCATCAGAGCTCTGCAGTTTAATAGTCGGCATCTACAGGAACAATAATACACAATAACAGACACACAGAAGAGTGATAAGCAAGAAACGCGCTGCTGTCGAAGCATCCAGAACTCTACAGCGAGATTTCATTTACAAACGCGCTTCTCTAGCATATTCATAAATCGCGCTTAAAAAGAAGCATAAAGACTATCACTGTCCCAGTGTTTCATTCAACGAGCTTTTCACATGAATTTAAAGCATCACAGACATAACGCACGGGCAGTTTGTGATGCTAAGCTAACGTTAGCCGCGCGGCTATAGGCCTCTGTTAGCAACCGCTGCATTCATCACGTCAACCGCGTTCAAACTACATCATTTCAGGCAATAATACTCCCGCTGTATCTCTTCGCTGTCAAAATATAACATATGACTCGCTAATGTGGCAGATTTGGTCCCGTTCTTACCGTGAATGAGAGCGGCGCAAGTATGAAACTGAACGTCAACAAGGCCTGACTGAAACTGAGCGCAGTGTGACGCGCATGCGCAAACTAACCACATCGCTACTAGTTACATGCAACAACTTTTCCAAAAGAATGTTTTTGTATCTTTTATGTATGGATAATACTTAATCTGACATGCAAATCCAAAATATTTGTTTTCTGTTCTTATTTTTATAATTGACTTTTGTTAGAATATATTCATGTTTCTGTATGTTTCTACAAGTTTTGTAATAAAACAAATAAAATTTAAAAAACTAGTTACATGCAATGGAATTACGTAATTAAATGACAAAAAATGTAATTGTAATCAGTTAGAAAAATGTGTAATTAAATTACAGTTACTTGGGAAAATAGTAACGATTACACACTCACAGACACACACACTCTCACACACTGACACACTCACACACACAAACTCACACACACACACTCACACACACAAACACACACACACACACTCACACACACACTCACTCTCTCTCTCTCTCTCTCTCTCTCTCTCTCTCTCTCACACACACGGCTCTCCTCTGCGTGGCGCCGGGTCGAACTGCAGGCTGGAAGCACACCACGACAGATCAGACACGTTCAGATCAACAGCATTCAAGAAACTGCATCCGCTTCCATCAAGCTTTCCAACTTACAAGGAGTACTTGAGGGTGTCGTCGAGCTCCATGATGGCTGCCTGATTCCCACAGCGGTAGCAGTAGTTGGGTGCGCTGAAAATCGTTACCACGTTGCGATCATGGCACCAGTTGTAACCCTAGAGGAGAAAAGTGTGTTACATTTAGTCATGTAGCAGACGCTTTTATCCAAGCAATCAAAATCAACAAAAGAGCAATGATATGCAAGTGCTATAACGGTCTCAGTTGGCTTAACACAGTACATGTAGCAAGGCCTTTTTTATTAAAGCAATAAGCCCCAAGAAGCCGTGGTTTACAGTGACTTTATAACCGCTACGGGGCGTTGTTAGGTACGATGCAAAGCTATTTTATAGCGCTTATAAATTCACTGTAAACCACGGCTTCACGGGGCTTATTGCTTTTATAAAACGGTTGTTACACATACGTAGTAAGGTTTCACAAAATAAAACAGAGCAAATAAAGTGTAATGGTAATAAAAACAGTGTTCTTCCACCAAACAATGTAGCGCCTCAGAAACAGTTGTGGTTGCAACAAAGTGGCTGCCAAGCGACACAAACGTAAACAAAGGTGTGTGTTACTTTGTAGCGTCATTTACAACAGCTTCGAACGCGGCTCGTTAATTGTATAATAAATAAAAATAAAACAAATAGATAGAATACAAAAAGAATAGAGAAGCTAGTGTTAGTTTTTTAAAAGAAAACAACAGTTAGTGAATGAAGAGAGTGCGAGTCTAAAAGGGGCAAGCGTTTATTTTTTTTTTTAAGAATAGAATTAGAATAGAGCGTGCTAGAGTTAGAGGGTCAAGTAAAGATGGAAGAGATGTGTTTTTAGCCGATGCTTGAAGATGGATAAGGACTCAGCTGCTGGGATTGAGTTGGGCAGGTCACTCCACCAGGAGGGAACAGTTAATGTAAAAGTCTGTGAAAGTGATTTTGTGCCTCTTTGTGATGAACAATAAAGCGACGTTCACTTGCAGAACGCAAGCTTCTAGAGGCACATAACTCTGAAGTAATGAATTTAGGTAAAGTGGCGCAGAGCCAGTGCTGCTTTTGTAAGCAAACATTATTATTAGTGTTATTTTTATTACATTATTTATTATTTCATTATTATACAATTATATTAGTGTTATAGTGTTATTTTAGAACCACTGATATAATTTTGCGTTTTTTTTACAGAAGTCTTCTGCTCATCAAGGCTGCATTTATTTGATCAAAAATACAGTAAAAACAGTAAGTTACAATTTAAAATAATGGTTTTCTATTTTTAAAAACTTTAAAATATAATGTATTTCTGTGATGCGCAGCTGTATTTTCATCATCATTACTCCAGTGTCACATGATCTTCAGAAATCATGCTAATATGCTGATTTATTATGAATTTAAAATAGATATACAGTATACACAACCATTCAAAAGTTCAGGGTCAGTACATGTTTTTCTTTCTTTCTTTAAGAAATTTATACTTTTATTCAGCAAGGATGTGTTAAATTGATTAAAAAGTGATAGTGAAGAGGTATTTGCTAGAAAATAATACATTTTATTTATCAAAGCATCCTAAAAAAAAAGTATCACAGGTTCCACAAATATTAAGCAGCACAACTGTTTCCAACATTGATAATAAATCAGTATATTATACTGATTTCTGAAGATCATGTGACTCTGAAGATGCAGAAAATACAGCTGCACATCACAGGAATAAATTACATTTATATTACGTTTATTATAATCTACTGACATAAATACACAGTATTCACTGATTGTGAACTGCTCTGAAACAGCGAGTCTGTGAACAGTGCCCTGTTTTGACTTTAAACGTGCAGCTCTCATTTATTTAATAAAATCATAGCCTTTAAGTCTAATCATAACAGGACGTATTCTAATCTCGGTTTTTTCCATCCTCAAATTTAAGGCCTCTTAAAATAAATCGTTTGTTATACCAGTTAGGACAAGACCTTTTATGACCTTAACTTTTGTAAAACTGAACGTTTTTGATGTTTTGAGAACACGCATGCTCCTAAACACATTTCACACTTCTTTTAGTCGCGAGTGAAGCGCTCACACTGCCGAGATCTGAAGATGTGACCCGACTGATCTTTCAGCAAAGTAAGAAATTCAAATACTATCCACATATGAATTTAAGATAACGTGTCCCATTCAGCAGCGAAGTTCATTTATCCAACTTCAAATTAAAGAAGATAATGAGCAGATTGTGGCATCAAGAGATGCTCTCACCTCCATCACTAGCTGGTGAGCTCTAGAGACCAGCGTAAGGCCATTAGCGTGGTTGAATGTCTCAGATATGTCCTGCCCAAAGGTGTAGCCTGCACCTCTAGGAGAAATACCCCAACCTCCACGGTCATCTGGGTCAGACCACAATAAATCACACATGGGGCCCTGAGGAAGACCACAGACAAAGAGAGCCATTAGTGCGGTTTAAAGCATTGTTTTTCAGCTTTATTTCTCCATTAGACTCAACTGCACGTGTAAAACACACAGTTGAGATAATTACTTTAAAGTAATGTAACTGATTACATTTGTAAATCTTGAATGCTTTCAACTGATAATCATTTTCAAACATGTTAACCTTTCAGTAGCATTCAACACTGATTACTCTCAGACTTTCATCACTTGAATAAAGGTTATAATAATTTCATTTTAAAGCACATGGTTTTTAGCAATATTAACTACAAATGAATGTTTATGTCCACTCTATCGAGTCTAAGTGGCCGACAGGGTGGACATTTTGAGCTTCAATTAGCATATTAGCTTACAACAAACTGTGACTAGCTAAATATTTGGTCTGGTTGTTGAAGAGAATTTGGTATATTTAAACGTACATATTTTGAAAATACTCTATTCTAATCACTTCTGGCATATTTTGTCACTAAAGGGGATGGCCTTTTCTTAAAGGGGCGGATTCAAGGGACATGGACAAACTCTTCTTTTTTTATTAAATACAAATATAGTTTATCATCACCAACTGATCAATGCACTCAAATGGAGTAATATCTTATTTAACAAAATATTAATAGGAGAAAGCTTAATATTTGTATTTATTAAATCATGCATTTCATTTTCCTTCCTGATTTGATCACTTGTGTATCAGAGGATTAAAGGTTTAAAAGGCAATTAATATTCAGTAATTTTATATTACTGAATATATAACGCCACTAACTTTGCAACACTGGCTCTGCAATTGAACCAAGACTGAACTCGATTCAACTGAACTGAATAATGACTTGTCTTCTGTAACTGATGTTGAATTCCTTTCATAATTGTTGACTCTTATATTAACACTTTCTCCTGCTTACTACTGTGAACCTGCTTTAAAACAATGTGTATTGTATAAAGCGCCAGAGAAATAAATATGAATAGACTTAAGAGAAGCAGTAACAGCAATAGACCTCATCAGCTCAATGCCATATTCAATCTAACAGATGAAAACAAGAGTGTATAAAGGTCTTAGATCAGGTCATCTTCACAATTCTTGACTTTTGAAACAGCTTAATGTTTTTGTATACTTAAACAGAACAATCTATTGAACGCACTGTACTTCAGTCCCTCACAGCCTCGTTTTCATTCTTGTCAAATATTAAAAATAGCACAATCCCGGCTAAGGTCTATGCTTGGCAGCTCACCTGAGGATTCAAGTAGAACAGCACACAAAGTACATGAGCAAGATCCATCTTTATTCTTGAACTGGTACCCTTTATACAGACACAGAACCATCATATGAAGCTATTCCAGGATTCAGACGACGGCGTGCCATCTCAAGTCTGCCGTATATCATTAGTTGGCATTTGTTGAACACGTTAAGTGTAGGAAGGATTATCACCTGCTTGTTGGGATATAAAAGCATCTAATCACCCGTAGAGCATGGAAAACAGGGAAATAAACCGTAACACGGACTTCTGTTGAAAAAAAAGTGCAAACAGACATTAGAAAAAGAAGGAACACAAACAGGGTTCATGAAGGAGGCCGTGTGTTCGGGAGGGTTTCACAGCCGGTGTTCATCTAAAGAGCCGAGGACAGAAGCAGGAGCAGCCGGGAATATCAGGTGCTCGTGGATGGGTTTGGATATGGCACACACACCTTTTGGTCCACAGACGTTTCTCACTGGATCAGTTTTCTCTACTGTTGCCCATTCCTCTCCTCTTATTTTAAACTGAATGAGGATTATAATATCATGGCAATACTGGATTCACAGGAAGTAGTCGGGGGTACGGCGGGTGACATGCGGCTCTCCTCTGCGTGGCGCCGGGTCGAACTGCAGGCTGGAAGCACACCACGACAGATCAGACACGTTCAGATCAACAGCATTCAAGAAACTGCATCCGCTTCCATCAAGCTTTCCAACTTACAAGGAGTACTTGAGGGTGTCGTCGAGCTCCATGATGGCTGCCTGATTCCCACAGCGGTAGCAGTAGTTGGGTGCGCTGAAAATCGTTACCACGTTGCGATCATGGCACCAGTTGTAACCCTAGAGGAGAAAAGTGTGTTACATTTAGTCATGTAGCAGACGCTTTTATCCAAGCAATCAAAATCAACAAAAGAGCAATGATATGCAAGTGCTATAACGGTCTCAGTTGGCTTAACACAGTACATGTAGCAAGGCCTTTTTTATTAAAGCAATAAGCCCCAAGAAGCCGTGGTTTACAGTGACTTTATAACCGCTACGGGGCGTTGTTAGGTACGATGCAAAGCTATTTTATAGCGCTTATAAATTCACTGTAAACCACGGCTTCACGGGGCTTATTGCTTTTATAAAACGGTTGTTACACATACGTAGTAAGGTTTCACAAAATAAAACAGAGCAAATAAAGTGTAATGGTAATAAAAACAGTGTTCTTCCACCAAACAATGTAGCGCCTCAGAAACAGTTGTGGTTGCTACAAAGTGGTTGCCGAGCAACACACAAACGTAAACAAAGGTGTGTGTTACTTTGTAGCGTCATTTACAACAGCTTCGAACGCGGCTCAGCCAATCAGAATCAAGCACCGGAACTCTCCGCTTTATAATTCACTTTTTGTTAATTGTATAATAAATAAAAATAAAACAAATAGATAGAATACAAAAAGAATAGAGAAGCTAGTGTTAGTTTTTTAAAAGAAAACAACAGTTAGTGAATGAAGAGAGTGCGAGTCTAAAAGGGGCAAGCGTTTATTTTTTTTTTTAAGAATAGAATTAGAATAGAGCGTGCTAGAGTTAGAGGGTCAAGTAAAGATGGAAGAGATGTGTTTTTAGCCGATGCTTGAAGATGGTTAAGGACTCAGCTGCTGGGATTGAGTTGGGCAGGTCACTCCACCAGGAGGGAACAGTTAATGTAAAAGTCTGTGAAAGTGATTTTGTGCCTCTTTGTGATGAACAATAAAGCGACGTTCACTTGCAGAACGCAAGCTTCTAGAGGCACATAACTCTGAAGTAATGAATTTAGGTAAAGTGGCGCAGAGCCAGTGCTGCTTTTGTAAGCAAACATTATTATTAGTGTTATTTTTATTACATTATTTATTATTTCATTATTATACAATTATATTAGTGTTATAGTGTTATTTTAGAACCACTGATATAATTTTGCGTTTTTTTTACAGAAGTCTTCTGCTCATCAAGGCTGCATTTATTTGATCAAAAATACAGTAAAAACAGTAAGTTACAATTTAAAATAATGGTTTTCTATTTTTAAAAACTTTAAAATATAATGTATTTCTGTGATGCGCAGCTGTATTTTCATCATCATTACTCCAGTGTCACATGATCTTCAGAAATCGCAGTTAGTGAATTCTAGAGTGCACGTCTAAAAGGGGCAAGCGGTTTTTTTTTTTTAAAGAATAGAATTAGAATAGAGCGTGCTAGAGTTAGAGGGTCAAGTAAAGATGGAAGAGATGTGTTTTTAGCCGATGCTTGAAGATGGTTAAGGACTCAGCTGCTGGGATTGAGTTGGGCAGGTCACTCCACCAGGAGGGAACAGTTAATGTAAAAGTCTGTGAAAGTGATTTTGTGCCTCTTTGTGATGAACAATAAAGCGACGTTCACTTGCAGAACGCAAGCTTCTAGAGGCACATAACTCTGAAGTCATGAATTTAGGTAAAGGGGTGCAGAGCCAGTGGTGGTTTTGTAGGCAAACATTAATGCCTTGAATTGAATGCGAGCAGCTACTGGTAGCCAGTGCAAATTGATGAACAGAGGTGTGACATGCATTCTTTTCGCCTCATTATATATATATATATATATGTGTGTGTGTTTACTTTTTTATTTATTCTTTGAACATTTAAGTATAAATATTAAACAAAACTATATATATATATAGTTTTGTTTAATATTTTACATAATATATTTATTATATATTTACATATATAAAAGTGACAGCTGCTGCTGTATGTTCAAATGAGATCTGAAGTGTTGTCTGGTTAGGATGCAGTCAGTCCTGACTCTCTGTCTCCTGCACTTGTTCTGTCAGTGTGTTCCTGGATGACTTCTTGGCCACGGGTAAAGAAGGGGATCAGGACCCTCAGCTGGAGTTTGAGCAGCTGCCCTTCTCTCATCCTCTCTTCATCATGTACTCTTCTGGCACCACAGGAGCTCCCAAGTGCATGGTGCATTCTGCTGGGGTGAGTGTGTGTGTGCGTGTGCACACACTGAAGACATTGTACAGAGTCTAATTTAAAATATTGTACTCTGTGCAATTACTTGATATATGCATTTTGGAGCACCTTGTTTCAAACATGATGTATAAAGAAAGAAAATACAGATGCAAGCATTTGTTTTGCAGGCGTACTACAAATATCAACAGCTAAATGATCAGTTTATAATGTAGGAACATATTGATGCATTTTATTTGCTTAAAATTGTCTATGTACCCATAGACCGAGTTTGCGGCAGTGTTTTTATTGTTTACTAAAACTATAAAATATTGTTTTTGTGAATTGAAATAAAGCTGAAATAAAACAAAATGTAAATATTAGATGAACAAACTTGAAAAATTAAAATGATAAATGTTTCTTTGGAAATCAACTTCAACTTATTTTAAGGCAAGTTTATTTATATAGCATATTTCATACACAATGGTGATTCAAAGTGCTATACATAAAAAGGTTTTTAAAAATAATCATGGCAGAAATGACAGACATTAAAAAGGATCAAAACAGATGATTAAGAAATAAAATTAACAATAAAAAATGTTAAAATATAATGAATAAGAATAAATAGATGGGTGCAGTGCATTTCATTTGAGTTAAAGTACTAAAATTTGCTAAAACGAAAACTAAATATAAAAATGACAACAGCATATCACAGAATTACACGAATTAACTAAAAGTAAGATGAAACCTGAAAATATAAAAATAAAATGTAATTCAAAATATTAATATTTTGTAAATATAAATTTACATTTAGTCATTTAGCAGACGCTTTTATCCAAAGCGACTTACAAATGAGGAC